ACGTCGGCGTCACATCCGCGTCAAGCGACCTACCAGCGCCCTCTCCCTGCTCTCTCCCGGGTCGCAGCTGCCTCCGCGCGTCCTGGAGATGTACCAAATTGTCGCCGCCGAAGGCGACTCGACGCCGCTGAGATCGGAGATCAAGCTCTGACAGGTCGCACGTCGCTCCTTTGACGCCGACGTGACTCCCCCGTGCAGATCACATCAGGACACGGTCTCGACACGCTCGGTACGACGCCTGCGACCCGTCTTGGTTCAGGTGGCACGACGCTCATCGCGCCTACCAGCGCTGCCGTGCAGGTTGCCACGACGAGGTCGAGCACGCTTCTATACGCTCGCCCAGCCTTCCTTTCTATCCCATTAGGCAGCCTGGGAACGGTGGCGGTCAGAGGCAAAGCCTGCGAGGGGTGGTGGAACCACATGTCACGGCTACCGCCGGCTCGACCCCACGATAGCCTCCGGAGGCTGACTTTGAGGCACAATCATCGGACGACGTCGGCGAGTTGAGTCGCGCTCGCGGTAGCCAGATGACCTCTCATACTAGTATCATCGGCCATGGCCGCAGGAAGCGCGGGGGAGGGCGCTGGGAGCAACACGGAGCTCCGTTGGACGCGTTTTCAAGATTAGCGTGTCAGAGTGAATTGGAACTAGCCTTGTGCACAAAACCTTTTCCTTCTAATAGAACGTTCTAACAGGGCTACACAATGACCCTATAGTGTGGGGGTGTTTCTGGCGAGTTGTGATGAGTAGAATTAGATTAGCCAATGGTATTTTGAAGTTCATTTATGAAAATACCAACTTGCCTATGTGCACGTCTCCGCGGCGGCGGCCCGGAGGCGGCCCGGCGGAGCGGTCAGAGCAGCACTGCGCCGGCCGGCGATCGCCTCTCGACTATACCACGGGCTCTATTGAATGGACTGAATTTCTCTCGCCCGGCTACGTCTGCCCGGGGCCTGGCGTGCCTCCGCCGTGGGCTGAGCACCCGGGAGAGCCACTCAGCAAGTGGTGTGCGAGCGTGTAGCCTTTAGCGTGCAGTCGGCCCTGTATGTTGTGTGTGTGCACAGAGTTCCAAGAGACGACAGAAGAGAGATCATGTGAGAGATGAGGTTGAGCCCCGCGATATTTTATTTGTAAATTGTCATTTGAATATTTTTGATGATCTCGATCGCAATCGCCAATCCTGGCCGTTCCGGGGGTCGCGGGACGCGGGTCCGGCGGGGTCGGACCCCGATAAGGCAGGCGATAAATATTGAATATATTGCTCCAATAGTTAGAGAGGCGATCAATATCAATATGTATACCTCGAGGTATGGCAATAGGAGTTAGAGGAGAGGCTGGGCCTGGGCTGGTCAGGACCGTGGGTCAGGTGGGTCCATCCTGGGCTTGAAAGTGGCTCTAAACCGTTAAAAACGGGCCAAAATCGCTTCGAAATCGCTTAAACCGCATTAAAAATCGCCTTGAACTCGCGATTTTTTCGATTTCAGCCCACATCTAGGCAATGTTTGGGACAAATGTCGACATTGGTGCTTTTGGAGGGTAAAATCAGCGATCAATATGTCAATATATTGTCAATGTTATAGGGGATGCTGTCAATAATCAATATCAATAGTTACAGGGGCGAGAATCAATATTTATCGCCTGCCTTAGACCCCGTGCGCGGTGCGGGGGATCTCGGCACTCGGGGGCCGTCATAGGGGGCCCACAGCGCCCCAAAATCCACCAGTGCACACAAAGATCGCAAGGAGGAGTATGCGCAGCATCGGGAGGCGGCCTTCCGCGGAATCTGGAACATGCGAGATGACCTGCGGGAGGCGTGCGTGCGGGAGACCGCACCGAGGGTCGAGGTAGCAGGCCGGGAGTACCCGATGCTATGGCAGCCGGCGGACTCGCCGGCGGTGCGCTCGCTCGAGCGGCGGCTGGCTGCGGCGTTCCGCCCCGGCGGGATGGAGCGGGAGGCGGCGGGCCGCACCATCCTCTCCGAGTTCATGCTGCTTTCGCCACGGCTCGGCTCGATCGGGTGGAGCCAGATACGGGCAGCGGCGACGGAAGCGACGGCCGGCGGCGACGATGAGGAGGCGGGGCGCATGGGGAGGGCCCTCGGCACGGTCCTCACTCGGGCACGAGACGAAGCGGAGCGACGCATGGCCGCCCTCAGACAGGCCCGCGACGAGGCGAGGCAGAGCGCCGGCGGCCAGGCGGCGGGCGCGCCCGGATGGGAGGACACGACGCTGGAGACGCTGGTGGTGATCTCGGGCGGCCTCCACATGTTCGCCTACAAGGCGCGCAAGTACGACCACGAGAAGCGACGCGGCGAGGGAGCATCGGCGTTCTGGGGAGCCTTCGTGGCCGCGATGAAGGAGGGCGCGGCGTGGACGCCGCCACAGAGCCTCTCCGAGGCCCAGCAGAAGGCCGGCGCCAGGCTCCACGCGATGCCCTGGGTGCTTCAGCAGACGCCGACCGCAGGGATGGCCCGCAGCGCCGGGCACGCCCAGCCAGCTCCCGAGGGGCCGTCGTCGGGGGCCTCGAGTGAGCAGGCGAAGGCCGAGCAGGAGAGGCTGCGTGCGGTGGCGGAGCAGCGAGCGGAGGAGCGCCGGCGGCGGGAGGAGCGGCGGGCGGCGAACGCTCAGTGGTGGCGAGCGGTGTGGCGCGAGGCGGAGACCGCGCGCGCTAGGGTTCACCAGATTGCGCGGCTTGTCTCGGGAGGGCGGTGGCGGGCGCGGTACCCGGAGGTGCTCATCGTCGACCATTCGCCGCTGCTTGTGGAACTGCTCCACAGGCAGCTCGAGGCGCAGCCCCTGAGCGCGCGCTGCTGGGGGAGTCCGCACGCCCTAGCGGACGAGGCGAGTGACGAGTAATCGTGCCGTGGCCACAAAGAATAAATAAGAAGCGGCCCCCGCGAGCGTGGAATAGGACCGCCGCAAGCGGCGTGGCGTGGAGCGGTTGAGCGTCCCTCCGGGGGCCCCTCTGCGCCGGGGAGGCGTTGTTGGCGGCTAGGACGCAAGCGTCCGTCGCCGTTTTCAAACTCGGGGCCCACTCCGCTACGCTCCGACCCGAATTTGGAGGGCCATGAAATTTAAGGTGTTGCTGCGCAAAAGGGGTGGCGCGCGGGCGCGCGCGGCGGCGGGCGTCGAGCGCGGAGCGGCAAACACAATGACGTCGGAAAGCTCTGCATCAAGTATACAGTAGGCTCTAAGCACGGAACCAGAGTTAGGGGAGAAGTGTGGTGCGTAGCCGTCGCCCACCCTCGGGCGTCTACCACTTCCTATCGTTGACTAGCGCTACCTCGCGTTGGCGCACCAGCTTCTACTTCAGCGCGAAGCTTCGCTGGAAAGAGAAGATGAAGCACGCGCTCACGGCAGATCGTCGCAGGAGGGGGAGCGAGGCACCACTCGGGCCGACGAACAAAGAAAGAAACGTTCCAACAGAAACGTTCCAACAGCTAGTGCTCAAGACGTCTTTCCGCGACTCCACCCCCAGCAGCTTCATCTCTGACTCCAACATCACCGGTACGATGTTCGAGGAGCTATCAGTAAATATGCGAGATACCCTTTTCTTTGCGCTTCTTTTTTCCGTTTTTTTCTTTTTGCCAATATTTGAGATACCACATGTTCAAACTCCGCACTTTAATTCGATCTTTCTCGCCGCGGCTCGTGGGGCTCGGAAGTAGTCAAGCAGGTGAGCGGAGTGGGCGGAAGGAGGCCTGGGAGTATTTTGGCACATGTACATGTACATGTTGTGCATATGTTGTTGTCAACTGTGTTTTTTTGTGGGTCGACCATTATGCCAATGCTGGGGCTTAGGGATGCTCATGCTCTGGGAGCGGTGGCTTCCGCCCTTAGGTCCAGCATAGACGGGGCGCCCGTCGACCTGCGACTCGGTGTGCGGAGGCGCCGATGGGCCGGGCGGGCCATCCAGAGATGGAAGATGGTACGGTGCGCATACTTGAGCAGGCGGGTCGCGCCGCAGTTGGCACAGGGGCCCTGGGTGTAGGGTGAGCGCGGCATCTCGACGTCGAACCCGGGTATTTCTCGGGTGTACCTGGACTTTTGCAGGTATACCCGGGTTTTACCCGGGGTTGCCCCGACTAATGGTAAATCTTACCTCCGTTTGATTGTTTTGGTCGGAGAGTGTTTGATTGTTCAGGGGGGCTATACCAGTCAATCGCAAGCACTGTTTTCCCCTAACATATTTTACTTTTTTGATTGACGACAGACGAGCTTGGTAGCTGAGCTTCAATGCCCAGTTAACCTAAAGAACCCAACCCAGAACATAACCGCAGACAGGTCACAGCGTGCGTACATTCGTAACACTCCCCTCGGACGTCCAGTGCGCGACACACGCCGCATACGACATCGCGCAACGGCGGCGGGAGTACGGCGCGCGGCCACTCTCTCCGAGACCGGGAGGTGCGGTAGCACATTTGTGTCACTTGAGCAGCTTGTAGCGGGCGGAGACTAAAGCAGCTTGTATTGCACTTTTTTCTTTCATTTTTTCAGATCGTCTTTTCACGGTGGTGGATGACATCGAGAAGATGGTACGGTGCGCATACTTGAGCAGGCGGGTCGCGCCGCAGTTGGCACAGGGGCCCTGGGTGTAGGGTGAGCGCGGCATCTCGACGTCGAACCCGGGTATTTCTCGGGTATACCTGGACTTTTGCAGGTATACCCGGGTTTTACCCGGGGTTGCCCCGACTAATGGTAAATCTTACCTCCGTTTGATTGTTTTGGTCGGAGAGTGTTTGATTGTTCAGGGGGGCTATACCAGTCAATCGCAAGCACTGTTTTCCCCTTTAAGCCTAACATATTTTACTTTTTTGATTGACGACAGACGAGCTTCAATGCCCAGTTAACCTAAAGAACCCAACCCAGAAAATAACCGCAGACAGGTCACAGCGTGCCTACATTCGTAACACTCCCCGCGGACGTCCAGTGCGCGACGCACGCCGCATACGACATCGCGCAACGGCGGCGGGAGTACGGCGCGCGGCCACTCTCTCCACAGACAAGCCGTAATTGCACAGACCTGCCGCCGGCGCCTGCCCTCTCCCCTCCGCGCCTCACCACAGCACCACTGCGGCCACCACAGGTGGCTATGTCTCCTCGGGACACCCTCCCCCTCTACGCGGCGGCGCCCGGGCGGACGAGGCGCGGCAGCAGAAGCCGCGCCCAAGCCGCGCCCGCCGCCGACTGGCTGAGGCTGCCCGCCGCCGCAGCTTTGGCGGCCGCGTAGCGAGCCGCGCACCGACGCAGCAGCTCCCCCGCGCCGGAGGAGCGCCGCACAGCCTCCGCCGCCGCAGGCCATCCGAGCCGCCGGGCCGCCCCCGCCGCCGCCGCCTGCAACGCCGCCCCCCTCGCCTCCATCTGCAGAGCAGCGGTCGACCAGCCGGCAGCCGCGCGCCTGGCGACGAAGCTCACCGGCGGTTGGGCGGCGCGAAGAGCGGCGAGCGCGCCGGCGCGCACCATAGACCCCGTCGCTGCAGCAGCATCCGCCGCCTTCATCGCAACGCCTGCCGCCGCCGCCGCCGCGCCGGCAAGCTTGGTTGCAACGCCTGCCGCCGCCGTCGCGGCGCCTGCCGCCGCCGCCGCCGCCGCGCCGGCCGCCTTTGCCCCAGCGCTCGCCGCTGCCGCCGCCGCCGAGTGCAGGGCCGGAAGTGCGGCGCCGGCCGCCTTTGCCCCAGCTGCAGCGGCAGCGCCCGCGGTAGCCCGGGCGGCGGCGGCGGCCGCAGCCGCCGCCGCGTGCGCCGCGGCGGCGGGGGTGAGGGGCGAAGCGATGAGGAGGGCCCAGAGCAGTCCGGAGGCCGCCGCCGCCGCCGCGGTCGGTAACAAGCGGCGGGGGCGCGGCGGGTCGGTGGAGCGGGCGGAGGGGCGAGCAGGGCCGGTGTGGGCGGGGTGGGGCGGCGGCGGCGCTGGCGGCGACTTCCGCGGCGGAGGGGAGGAGCGGAGGGGGGGCGGGCGCGGCAAGCTGGCCGACTCGCGGGACGGCGTGAAGAGAGACTTCTTCTCCGAGGACTCGGTCGGCTTCTGCGGCTTCTGCGGCCTCCGCGGCTTTTGGCTCGGCTTTTGGCCCGTCGGAGAGGGTGGGTCGACGGCCTGCGCGGTCAACACGCCAGCCTCGGGGCGGGAGTACGGTCTCGGTGCAAGAGTCTTCAGAGTACGAGGGTTGGGACTACGGCCGAATGCGGCCGAGTACAGCGGAGTGCGTGTCCTCTCGAGCGCTGCTTGGAAGACGAGAATCCGCCTCTCCGGCTTCTGGGGTCGGCGAGCCCATATCTCCCCATATCTCCCCCATATGTCCCCCAGATCTCCGCTTCTAGGGTCGGCGAGCCCATATCTCCCCAGATCTCCCCAGATCTCCCCCAGATCTCCGCTTCTAGGGTCGGCGAGCCCATATCTCCCCATATCTCCCCAGATCTCCCCCATATCTCCCCATATCTCCCCCATATCTCCCCCAGATCTCCGCTTCTAGGGTCGACCACCGACCGCGCCGGCGCGTTGATGCGCCAAGTGGAGGTGGAGGTCGGCGTCCCCACGAGCCGGCCTGTTCACAGCAGTAGGTGTGAAGAGACGCTGTTCACAGGGGGTGGAGGTCGGCGTGCCCACGAGCCGGCCTGCGCCGGCGGTGGGGCGGTGGGGCGGTGGGGCGGTGGGGCGGTGGGGCGATGGGGCGGTGGGGCGGTGGGGCGGTGGGGCGGTGGGGCGGTGGGGCGAGGCAAGAGTCCGAGGGGCGAACACGGAGCTGGTGGCGCGCGACAAACGGCTCTTCGTGCGGGTCCGCTCCCGGGCACGGCCGAGATAGCCCGAGATTGCAGAGTCGTCTCGCGGCGGGCGGCGAGGCGTGGGGCAGGAGGCGTGTGCACGAGTCGGGTGGTGGGTGGTGGAGGAGGGGGGAGGCAGGCGGAGGACGGTGTGTGTGTGTGTGTGTGTGTGTGTGTGTGTGTGTGTGTGTGTGTGTGTGCGTGTGTGTGTGTGTGTGTGTGTGTGTGTGTGTGTGTGTGTGTGTGTGTGTGTGTGTGTGTGTGTGTGTGTGTGTGTGGAGGATGGTAGTAAGGTCTCACCGAGCTCGAGGCACTGCCACCTCGCAGCCTCAGAGTTGCACGCCGTCTTGTCGATGTCGGCGACCGACGCCATCAGCGCCGTGAGTCCTGGAGACGGGGAGGAGGGAGGGGGGTGCTTGAGAGGAGGGGGGAGGGGAGGGGGGCCTTTGAGGGAGGGGGGGGGGGGGGGGGGGGAGGAGCAGGAGGAAGTGGGAGGGAGGGGGAGAGGGAGCAGCGGGAGAGGCTGCACCGACGCCAGCGATGGCAAAGACGACGACCGCGGCGGGGAGCGAGCAGCGGCGCTTCGCGGCGGGGGAGCGCTCGACCGGGAACAGAATCCGAGTCGCCGTCGATTCGGCGGCCGCGGCCTTCTTGCGGCCGGCGATGTGTGATGTCGCAGGGGAGAGCGTCGCGGCGGGCGGAGTGACCTGCCCCTCCGTGTCATCCTCCTCAGTCGCGGGCCGCTGAGCGGAAGGGTCGGGGCTCAAAAACTCGGCCCTCGCAACTCGGAGAGCCCGCACCCTCTTGCGTGCGAGGAGGGTGCGGGCGACAGCCTGCAAATTGCACGCTGCACGGCGTCGCTTGGTCAGGTCCGCCAGGTGACGCATGCGCCGCGGAGAAAAGGGGCGGCGGCGGAGGGGACTCGTCACGCGCGGCTTTGCGACCGTTCCCGCGTTGCGGAAGACGAGCTTCTGCGAGGCGCGCATGGCAGAGGAGCGCACGGGAGTCACAACTGACAAAAGCAGACCAGCGGCACCATCAATGCAGGCGTGAACAGGCTTGTTGGCACCGGGTTGCTGCCGGGTTGTGGTATTGTCATGTGTGTGTGTGGAAGGTTCTCGAGGTTCTCGAGGTGGATATCCTTTGGCCGCGTTGGGTAGCGAGGATTGGTGTAACCCGAGTGTGTGGAAGGCAACCGATGCGTGTCGACTGGTGTGTGAGATTCTTGGTGTGTGTCGTCGTGGTTTCCTATAAGAATACTCACTCACTCGCTCCGGGTTGTGTTTTTTGCGTGAGAAGGCAGGCATCAAATGTCGAAGAGCATCGCTACTCGATCGAGAGAGAGAGAGAGAGAGAGAGAGAGATTTAGCAATACCAAACAACTCTAACACTCAAACGTCATCTGGGGCCTGGAGCCCTGTTCACGCGCGCGCGAGACGTGCAGACAGGGTTGCCAGGTGAGAGCGAATGGCGCGGTTCACGCCTCGCACAACAGGAGCGGCCGCACTCTGCTCGCTACCCCCCCTGCACAACTGAGCTCATGGCCGACCCCCCCCCCAGCAGCAGCGCTCTGCTGCTGGGGGGTCCGGACCCCCCCCCCCAGCAGGAGCGCTCTGCCTGTGGGGGGTGCTGGCATCTCTGTACAGACAGCAGCTGTAAGTAGCATGCGTTCGAGTTGCGAGAATTTATGGTCGGCATCAAAATCAGTGGTCTCACCGGCGGGCCCTCCTACTGCCAACCGGGAGGTGCGGGGCACGCCAGCCTCTCTTCTACGCCTCTCGGAGAGGGGGGGGCGGCGGCGAGGAGGCGGGAGAGCTGGGTCCAGTGCGCTCTGCTGCTGGGGGGGTCAGACCCCCCCCCCTAGCAGCAGGGATGAGCTTAGTTGTGCAGGGGGGTAGCGAGCAGAGTGCGGCCGCTCCGCGTGTGTGTGTGTGTGTGTGTCTCACGTCACTGCATCCTCTCGAGGTTCTCGAGGCACGTCGCCATTTGGCAGCATGTGACCAAGCTCAAAGCAGGCAAATTCACCGTTCAGGACGATGTCCTCTGCCGACAAAAAGCCAGCTCTCTGTGCGCTTGTGTGGACAGCACGAACGAGGAAATCCGTCGTTTCATGCTCAAAGATGTATACGGGCGGCCGCGTGATTGAAATGTTCTGATCGCGGATACACATCTGCTCCAACCTACACCACCCGCGCTGCTTGTACGATGATGCGTCGCAGGCCTTGCCAGAATCCGAGTGCTGCGGCGGGATTGCGGAGGGCGAGGGGAGGATTGGTGTGACGCGATCCACGCAGGCGTATTGCCTTCCAAGGTGGGGTTGCGCGAGCACATGCAGCTCGCGCTTTAGCTTGTGCACGTTATTCTCGCGCAGGACTATCTATATTATTTTGCTTATATTCTCCCCGGACCGTCTATATTCTCGAGATTATTCTCGAATATTGAGAATATTTTGACCACGCGTAGGTCGACGGAGGCCAAAAGTCGCTCCCAAACCCGCTCAGAACCACCAAAACTTAAAGATTTCAGTCGTCCTCGACCCGAAAACCTACTGTTGAGGGGGGGAATAGCTGTTTCGAGCTCTCTCGTCAAGACCGTTTTAGACGCCGCAGCGGTACGTCAAGAATATTCAAGAATATCTTTGGACTCGAGGTCTACTAAGGTCAAGGGCTGCGGAAAGCTCGTATATTCTTGAGGGAAAAGCCGGCCGGGGCATCTATGTTCTCGAGAATTTCTCGAGAATATTCTCGAATATGGAAGTGCGCGGGACCCTCTATATTCTCAAAGATATTCGAGAATAACGTGCACAGGCCAACTCGCGCTGCGCTGCGGTATAAGGTGGGCCTGGCCTACCATGGCAATGCTACGCGCCGACGCTGGACATCGGGCAAGTGGTCCACACGCTGAACAGAATCTGCCCTGGGACGGGGGAGGCTGTAAGGTAGTGTAAGACCTTCCGTGGGTCTGCCTCTCACACCCTCACTGCTGTCGTATGCGAGGTTCAGGCGTCTCTTATCACCCTTACTGTGAACAGCGCCCCGGGGTTGTGCTTTTCTGTGAACAGCGCCTCAGCACCGCCGAGTGCCGACCTCTCGATTGGGGGATATCTCGCTGCCGTCCAGAAATCAATACCATCGCCAGGTGCGCTCCAGCGTGCATATGCTCCACGCTCGCCAGCAGCGCGCCTGCTGTTCCTCCGCTGGCCACATCTGCATCTTCGTCGCGACCGAGGCCGGCAAGCCCGCATACATCGACCGCCTAACATCTGTGTTGATCACATGGGCCGCAACGCCGCCGCCTGCGGACGTGAGCGTCCGCTTCGTGCTCTCGGCACACGGACTCTCTCAGCTCTTCAACCTGTCAAGCCAAACGCGCCGTATCGCGTCAACGCGTGCTCGCGCCGCAACCCTCCTTGCCAAGGCGATGCCGTTCCCGCCGCACGTGCCGCAGCTCACAGCTGCGCTGCGCAACGAGCAGCTGGTGGTGCTCGACGACTCGACGCGCGACTTGTTCAAGCTTGGCCGCGATGGCGCGGCGCGGCGCTTCGAGTGGGTGGCGCACGCCGTTCGCGAGCGCTTTGCAGACGCGTGCGACTGGATCGCAATGACAGAGGTGTGCATGACCCCCGGCGCCTGTGAGAGCCCACATGCACAACTCCTTCACCACCCGTTCATAGGACCGCGTCCCCCAGGGCTCACTGTTCCACGTCTCTCTCTCTTTTCTCCCTATCATTCCGCCTTTCCCCGCCTGTCCCCGCCCGCCATACCCCAGGACGACACTTACGTCGACGTGCATGCGGCCCGTTGGACGGTCGACTGCTCGCTGGCTCCGACGCGGGACCGGCTGTACTGGTACAGCGGCCAGGTCTTTGGTCACACATGGGGAGACTTTGTGCACGGCGATTGGATGGTCTTCAACCGCCGCTCCTTCGTATGGACCGACAACGCGCTCTGGCAGTGCCCGCTGCCGCGCATTTCTTGGAGCGATAGATTTCTCGGCGGCTGCATTCGGTACGCCGCGGGCTGGCCCGGCTACCCGGAAAAGCGGAGGCATCCCGGCGACTATGCAGGCACGCGGGCGCGACACACGCCCGCCGCCACGCTCCGCAGGAAGAGGGGTGTGCTCTGCTCGACCACTGCGTGGGACGCGCGCTCCTTTTCTGTTATGTGCAGGCACGCCGGAGATGCGGCCCAAGCAGTGGCCCGAGCCCATCATCGCCGACAAGCACCGTTCGGTGGTCGTGGATCTGGCGCGGCAGCTCCACGCTGTGCGGCAAGAGAAGAGGCACGCCAACTCCAGCCTCGACGAGAAGAAGGCAAACGCACGAGAAGACAAGATGCGAAGAGCTCGGCTCCTAGACCGGCACGCGACGAGCTTCCACAAGTGAGCCTCGCCTTCCCTGCCGTCCGCCGCCCCCTTGCCGAGCCCGTCCTTGAATCCTGCCTCACACACACTCTCGAGCCTCGTTCGCTTCCAGGCTAGAGCCCGACGAGATGGTAGCCGTGCACGCCCTGCTCCAGCAGAGAGAGCTCGCGCAGGCGAGGCGGGGTAGGTACCCAGTGTGCAGCGAAAGCTCGAGACTGCTCAACGTCGAGGACAAGCGCGAATTGCGACGCTGGGAGTGAGCGCTGCGCTGCCCAGCCGTACGCGTAGAGCTAGAGGAAAGTTAGGGCCGGGGGGGGGGGGGGGGCGCCCGGTCCCCTGTGAACAGGGCTCGCACCTCAACCTCTCACAGACCAGCGCACAGCGCCATAGAGGACGTATTTTCTTCTCAATAACAAGGCTGTAAACATTGTTCTCTCTGTGTGTGTGTCCGCCCTTCTTTATCGCGGAGTAGAGTTGGAGTAACTTCAGCACTTGAGCACTGGATAGAGGGGTCGATTCCGCACATAGAGCCGTATGGGTGTACGGGACCCCGTTGGAGTACACCTATAAGTGGACCGTAACGTACGGACGACATACGTACAGTACAACACGAGAGGTGTATAGCTCGTGAGTCGTCGGTGACACGACCCTCGTGTGCGTGACTGCGTCAGACTCAGAGGACATCAGAGAGACGAAACCGCACCTCATGCGCGTGCTCTTCTTCCTGCTCGCTGCTCGCCCTCCGGTCGGGAGCCGGAGTGGGTGCCTGGGTGGGTCGGGGGGCTGCTGCAGCGGCTCGAGTCGGCGCAAGGTGTTACGGTGGGGGGGGGGGGGGAGGACTACCTCGTCAACGACATTGCACCAGGACCGACACCGTCGGGGGGGCAGGCGATGATGGCATATGCCTGCTGTTGTTGTGTGAAGAGGCGAGTGGCGTAATCAACAAATCAAATGCCCGCATGACACGTGTGCCGGTTGCCGCCTCATGTGCTTAGTCAAACGCACCCTGCAGAAAGGCGAGGAGAGCGCGAGAGAAGAAAACGATTGTCCCCGCCTCTCTCGTGTGGGTGGTGGGTGCGTGTTCGCTGGTTCTGGCGTGGATTTGAGTAGCGGTTCGATCTCTTGACCGCTGTGTTTTTGCGGCGCATGTTGGGGCAGGTCGGAGCGCGCCGTAAAGGTGCTCGCCGATGGAGCCGGTGGTGGCAAGCTGCTGCGCCAGCGCTTGGCCGGGGACTCGCTCCGGGAGTCGCTCATCGGGCGGTGTTTTAGGGCGACTAGACCTCTCCGCCAGCCGCCTGAGGCGACAGCCAGAAGAAAAGTTGAACAAAAAACTCCTACGCGCACGACGCTGAACCCGCGTCACGAACTCGAGGTCACGACCCATAAAGCCGTAGCCCCCTGGGCGTGGAGCGGCGTGCCGCGTCCCGCGTCCGTCCTGGCTCCTGCTGACTCCTGTCCCAACTCCCATTCCTCCTTTGGATGTCTGCTTTCGTTCCTTCTTTCTTTCTTACACTGGGCACGGGACTGGCGCGCACTGGCACTAACACAGGTATACACCCAGAAAAAGAATTTAAACAAAACAACTCTCTCTCACAGCAGACAGGCTCGACACAGGTGCGAACTGGCGCGCAGAAAAAGAATTTTACCAGGAAAAAGAAGTATGAG